GCCTCTTCGTGGTGCCGAATAAAATTCGAGCTTGTACTCCGACGGTAGGCAGTCGATGAGGTACTCCGACGAGAAACCAACCTACCCTCGCTAGATGTTGATGAATGCAGCGAGAAATAGGTACCGCCCGCAGAGGCGATGCAACGGTAGGAGGGGAATAGAGGTTGAAATCTTTGCAATGCATGTATTGTTGACAGTTAGTCACCACCGCCGCCGGCGCAGGTGCTGCTTTGCTTACCACAACCATCTGGTACTGCTCGTAGGAGGCATAATAGGTAAGATACCGACAATAATCGACGGAGTGGGGGGGAGGGGGGACCGACGCATGGGAGTGGAGGCGTGGAAGTTACAGAAAGAGTGAAATCATTAATTAAGGGGTATCACTTGCAAAGGTCACTCCTACTTTCTCCTCAAACACTACACATATTTGAGCACAAAAATTTTCTGGTACAGAGCTCCTTAGATGTCATTTGGCCACCAAATTTTACAAGCAACTATAACATTTGTTTATAATATTGCCACAAAGTTTTAGATTGTTTTGAAATTTTTTGCTATGTTTTCGACCAAGTGTGTCGGTTTTGCAGTGTCCTGGGGTGTAGAAACCCACTCTCAAGTAACATTGCTCGCCGGCAATGCCCTGATCCATTCAAGCGTCGGACTAATAGACACATTAGAGGCACGAGTAGGGTCTTACCACCTACAGAAGGGCCCAAACTTGGGTAAATCCCTTGTTCTTCACCAAACCGTCTCGAACCCCAGCGCGCTCACCCATCCAAACAAATAGTCATCAATTGACGACACTATCGGTACGAAACACTGACAACTAGAAATGATGTTTATGTACGCAAATAATGAAAAAACAAAGGTTCCTGAAAAAATAGCAAAAGAGAAAGTTTGGCTATTTGAGTTTAGAGATGGACTAGGTACGAGTCTTCATACCATAATCATTTGAGAGTAGGTTTAGAAAATTGATGTATGGAGCTAATCAGTTAAATTACGGGAGAAGTGGCAACACCCAAAATCCTGACATATATCAGGAGCAAGAAAAGAAAGAAGACACCACACAGAGCCGTGGTGCTCATACCCAAGCAAGCTAGGGTTTCTACTGCCTCCCGCCGACGGTCTACCTCGTCTCCTGTGGTCTTAGGACATTGCTGGCGCAGTGAGTCATAGAGTACTTATTAAAAATTTACTACCGCACATGCCGGCTATTAGGTTGCCTCTAGATGACATGGCAACTCCTTAATTCTTATAATCAATTGGCTATATTATTAATCATGCTTTTACTAGAAAAAAAAAGAAAAATCCACTCGGGTTAAACAATGGACGAGAGCCATGCCCAGGCCCATGCCCCATGCGCATGCAGTGACGCAACAGGACTCCCGGCGGGTAGTAGCACCTGGCAACTCACAGTTCCCAGATCCCCAAATAACGCCTGTCGAACTGATCGATTCGGCACGATCGACGCCGCACGATTTAACAATTAACCCGGCTGATTCTCGAAAAAAAGAAACAATTAACCCGGCTTATCAATCAGATTGCAGAAACGGAGCTCCAGGCTCGATCGCCGCCGCCGCCTGCCGGTGCGATGGCCATTCGCCGACGTGACATGGTTGCCCGTCCCGTGCGACGGTGTAGAGAGAATCAGGCCGGAGATGGATGCGGGTACACACTATGTCGCTGAGGGAAATCTTTGATCTTTCCGGCCGGTCAGCTATGAAGGCAGATTCATGTGCACGGTGGCAGTGGCTGGGTCGGGTCGGGAGACCGAGCGTCCAAGTCGCCGGGTGGGACTCCTGACCCAGCAGCATACTTGACCAGGAACGAGGAACCCGGTCCGAGCTCCATGAATCATCGTCGCGGTGACCTCTCCGCCAAGGCAAGGCAGCCCCTCCCCCAAGTCTCCCTGCGCGAATAAAAGGCCGGCCGACCAGTCACAACTCGCCACTGCACCAATAAGCCGGCCGGTCCGTGCGTGCGATCCAAGAGTATCAGTATACTGTATACGTGGCTATAGCCATGCTCGGGAGGAGAAACAATGGGCCGCCGACGACGTCCAAGCCCCGACCGGACGGCGCGGGCCTCGCCGGCGCCAGCACCGTCGTCGCCGACGGCGGGCAGGCGGAGGTGGCCGCGTCGCAGTTCGTCGTGCAGCTAGGTGAACACCACAATTACCTCCTCGATCTAACATGTCTAGTACTGTATAGTATAGGTGCACGAAATCATTGATTGTGTACAAAACCCGGCATGCAGATGAGGCGGCTCGGGAGAGGCTGGAGCGCATGAACCGGAGGCTGAGGCTGCTGGAGCAGCAGATGGAGATGCTGGAGGCGGAGGTCGGGAGGGCCAGCAGTACCGCCGACGACTAGGAGCAGCGGCGCCGCCCCTGGTCGGAGAGACGATGGATGCAAGTAGAAGCCTTCCTTTTCTTCTTTTCCCTTCTCAGCTTCTTGCTGATGGAAGGACACGCACGGTGATAGTATCATGCGCTTGTTAAGGCGTTAGGCCTTTTTCTTGTAGTGATGGAAGAACATGACCATGACTATAGTGAATCACGGTTGTATTCCTGAAGCTTTTTGCCACATTTTTCCTTTGATCCCTGCTTGGTTTGAGGGGTTTGACTGACTCTCAGGCTCGTTGCGGAAAAGTATGGCTTCGTCTCCGGTGGAAAATGGCTGCCGTTCCAAGCATGCAAGTACATGATGGATCTCTGAATTGTCGCTTGATGTACGATTACCTCAGCACCTTAAATTAAAGACTTCATACCAGATTTCTGCTCCATCTTTCTCCTCGGCTGACATGCAGGTAGGAGAAAGTGCGACTTCACCACAACACTATGTACTTACATTAGAACCCTGGGTTTTCACTTAGTTTTAGGTGAAACTTTATACAGCACGATTGCCTTGTTGGAACTAAATACATTCAACGAACCATACATTTTTCTTGTATACATGCTCATGATACAAACATATAGCACATCGGCATCAAAGAAAAAAGCAAGAAAACGCCGAATTACCGAGAGTCCGAGACGCAACAAGACTCGCGGAATACATCCACTGCGCCAACCAAAGCGGTGATACTTCGAGCATCACCATATCGCTCTATTCACAAGCTAGCTTGGTGCCAAAGCTGCTGAGGCTGATGGCAAAGGCCTGAAATGCCGACAGAGGCTGCCGATAATCCATCGTGAAGATGTCGTCGTCGACCTTACCAAACTGCAGCAGCACCGTCTCCTCGTCCCTGGAGCCAGTAGGGTCATTGGGGTCAGCGGCAACGGACAGCTGGAAATTCTTGACGGACGCAACTGTTACCCGCCCGTGGAAGTTCAAGCACCAGCACTGCAGGTGCTCATGCCAGCGGGGAGCTTTGTTTCTTAAAACCGTGGTACCCATGGGCTTCCGAAACTTCGTCTTGAGGGAGTTTTCCCAGGTCTCTTGAGGTGAAGGGCACTCGAGTGCACAATACATCCTCCTGGGGCCTCGGGATTTGAGCAGGTTGTATTTGTATGAAAGCTGCCCGACTTCATAGTTGCCCGCCGATACTTGGGGGCTGATTCTTCTGCTTCCGAAACGCCGACTAGATCGACTACTTGATGCTTTAGCGCCATCATGTGGTGGCTTGCTATCATATACTTTGAAGTTTGTTCCCCAAAAATCAGATCTAGACAGGTTACAGAAGAAGCACAATTATATCACCGAGTAAAAGAATCAAATACATATAAAAATTTTCAGTAATGCAAACAGAAACCAAACATAGGGATAGGGAGGTGACATAACCTAAACTAGGACACTGAAATGGTGAAATCAAATTCCAAAAAGTTGGTAAAGTAATCGCCTCAACACTTCAGCAGCCAGTTGCGAGGACACATGATGATTATTTTTCAGAATAAAAATACCAATAGGGGCGGACCATACTGAAGATACTTAGTAATAACAATAGTTACTCCCTACATCATGTCAGTCTGAATATACTTTTGTTCGTACTACTATAACTGCCCCACTTACTAGGAAAAGTTCATCTTGATCGGAGTGATACTTAATTGTCACCCATTCACCCGTGTTCGGGCAAAGCCTAATGCCAGCAACCAAATGTATTTTAAGACAGCTGATCATGGATCGCAAGGCCAACTTATGTACGTGTCTCTGATGACTACTTTTACGCACAAGAGGCATGGCTGGGAGTCTTGGTCTTGATTGGGCTGGCACAAAGAGGAATTAGACGTGCACGAGGCCAGGTTGGAGAAAGAGCAGGCAGCAACATGTCGAAGAGAGAAAGAGGAAAATAAATTTTGGGGAAGCACTCTTCCTCCACCTCCAGCACGTGGGGGAAGATGAACAGGAAAAGGGACTAATCTGATTTGGTTTTTCTACATGGAGGTGGCAGGTGAGAGAAGAGATAGATACCACATAGGTGAAATTTCCTTCAGGGTATGTTTGGTTTAAGCCAAAGCTCACCGACACCAAACATTTGGCTAGCCAAAGGTTTTGCTTACCCATGGTTGGGCCAATGTTGGCAAGAAAAATAAGCTGAGAGGGCAAAGGGGAATGGCCATGCAAAAATATCGGAAACCATCCAAACAAGGACCAAAAAATTGGTAGGTTAGGTTTTGGACACAAACCAGAAACCAAACATACCCTCAAATCAGTGACATTGCCGCAATATACAATACCTCCTTCAAACCTCACTTCAGGGGGCTAAGTAAGCCACAGACTTGAGAGGTTTATAGACAAACACGATACTTGAGATCAGTAAAATGGACTTTTCCCTTAATGATAATATAAAAGAGAGATAGAATAAAAAAGAGATCCTCAGGACCCAAAAAATAAATTTAAAAGGACCATAAAAACCAGCAAATGTGAAGCAATCATAAAAGTGGAATAGCTTGCACACTCCCAAAAGGGCAAAGGTCAAAAGTTTAGAGTCTCAAGACATAGTGTAAATACTTCAGCAGACCATCGCAAAATTTCAAGGATGCAGTGGGTTTCATGTGACAAAGGGATGAATAAGGCACCTTAGTCATGCCACCAGGTCAAAAGGTTTGTTTTGCAGTATTGTAAACGATGCATCTTTGACCCCTGAATCATATTACTAGCATTCAAATTCAATTGAAAAGATACAAAGTGAAGAAGTGGTACTAACTCCAAGTATGGAACTCTGTAGTACTACATTGTCTAATGGTTTTTATAACACTGAGGACCTAAGTGTGTTCCATAAATCAAAAACACACTTTTGTGTTCCATATTTGCACCAAATATATTACTTCATCCAATTTAAACACTTAGCAGGATACATAAAAATAGCATGACAGGCTAATGTAAGTGCAGCCATGTTGAATTCTCACCTCAGTTTCCCCATATATGCATTGCTCCCTTGTGACAAGTCGTCAGCATCAAGGGATATAATGTACTCGGTATGGGGGCCACGCCTAAACCTTCTTGCAGCCATGAGAAACTTCCCTTTATCTACAGTAGCTGTCAGACGCAGACAATATGTATATTAAACTATATCATCAGGCACATTTTATAGTGACAATGGTTAAATGACATTACGAACAGTACAACAAATTGTAAGGGACAGCACATGGTAACTGGTAGAACCATAGAATATCCATTTAAGGCAAACTAATGATAGCATATAGCCACACAACACACTTCATCCTTGAGCAGATGAGAGTAAGGAACTGGTTGAGAAAATTGGTGCTCTATAAATACATGAACATGTACATTCTACTGCCTATGCACCTGAGTGTTACAGGTAGTAACAAAGATCAAGTGGGATATTCCAAGTACTATTACGGCCACTAATCTCGTAAAACTATCCAAGCTCCGAAAGACCGGAGGAAATCTTGAGATTTAGATTCTAGCTCCAAAAGATGCTCAAGTCCTAGGCATGACTGAACGAAACCCTTTGAATTGAACTTTTGAATAACCAATCCAAATAATGAGCAGCACTGTCCATTATTTTTTTATTTGAAAACTTAGGGTTATTCCAACACACGGTAACAATTTTAGTCCAGAATTCAGTGGATTTCTGCAGGTTCAATTTCATTAGCCAGTTCACACATGTCTCCTGACGATCCCAGTTTAATTGCAATAATGCATACAGATGCAAATTACCGCTTTGCCATGAAAACCCAACATAGATGCATTTGAGTTGGTTTGATTACTAGTTGAGTGCCAGGAAGCAATATGTATGAGACGACTACACATGCAAAAACAATGTAGATGCAACTGAAAAGTCAGAATTGACTAGAAGAAACAAGTGGGCACGCTTCCAATTAAAGCCTTGTTGAGTGAGATACAAAAGGAGGCAGCATAATAATCCAAGAAAAAGAATGCAATCTGCCTCGTTTTTAGATGAAAAAAAAGAAGCTTCGGTCTCTTAGACCAAGCTTCTTATAAGCTAAGGTTTTCGGCTAAACCATTGCTAACTCTTCAATATATTTCTTGCTGAAAGTGTCCCTGGTCCACAAGCCCAAATGTATACGCAACATAAAATAAAAAAAGGACAGACCCAGTGCATAGAAGCTCCCACACAAGGTGGCAACATAAAATAAATACGAGAAAATCAAGGCAGTACTCCCATCAGATAAACTTACCAGTTGTCAAGCCAAGGTAGAGGTAGAACGTAGAGTTCTTCTTATTCCGCTTGATAAAACACTGCATTGGGAACTCCCTTGGCCCTGGCTGTTTGACAACATGTTGTAAGATTAGGCATACAGATGCTGCATAAGAAAATTCTGCACTAAGTCCCAAGTAACGACAAATTAATCCCTCGGAAAACTAGCTTCAGTAGACATGTATGAAAACTACAGGTACGTTTGGTTTTAGCCTAGCTTGGCTGTATCAAATAATTGGCTAGCCAAATTTTTGGTGGAGTTTTTTCTTGCCCATAAATTGGCGAACATTGGCTAGAAAAGTGATCTAGAATGGACAGAGAAGCATTGGCATGACAAAAGACATCCAAACATAAAAAAAAGGGCAACCTGGTGCATGTAGCTCCCGCTTGCGCAGGGTCCAGGGAAGGGTCCGACCACTTTGGTAGGGTAGGTTTTGGCCACCATCCAAACACACCCTATGCTACTCGAAATAGGCAAGACAGAATTTCTGATTTTGGAAGCCTTGCCATTAGAAACCCAATTAATCGAGTCTCTCTTTGCAGGGGCATGACAAAAATATGCAAGCCAAATTTTCTGATCGTCAACACACCAACAGGTCAACCTTCATTGAAATCACCCACCCAAATACACCAAATTTGGTATCCCCCAAACCAAGAATGAGAACGCGAGTGTACTTTATACACGCACACTTCTTTGGTATGGCATACAGCGCGACCGGGCTGCGGCACGACACATGCAGCAGCACCCCAC